CTCTCCATTTTGACAATTTTATTTTAATGTTCAACTTTCTTTTGGTCGTTCACTTTTAGCTTCTGATACAGAGGCCACATGTCTTTCATAGCACACAGAAATGGATTGGGGGGGGGAGGGGGCTAAACTTTTGGGGACATCCAAAACTGGAATGGGACATGAACCCACTTAAATGAAAATCTTTCCAAATAACCTGGTCAAGATCTGAGATTTGGATAACCATGCTAGGATTATTTCTAAAGAAATGGAATGTGGTTTCAAATAGTTGAAAACAACAGCTGTGATGCTTTGAGGGGAGGCAGTTTATTTGGGTGGGTGGGGGCTCTTCTTTTCTCTCCCTTTGTAAAATTACCACATCCTGCTGCCTCTGTCTATGTTCCCTATTAAGACTGTGCATTAAGATAATATACAGTTCCTTTATTTTCAGTCCAATGCCCAAAATATCCTAATACGCTCAAAGAAAATGGCAACAACAACAATAATAAACATCTGGATGTCTTTATTATTTGTTTCTCTGATCAGCTGGAAGGCATCAACCCCACAGCTTGGTGTCAGAAACAGACTGGACGAGGATTGCATGAAAAACAACCAGTCATTCACCTTTCTTTCCCTTTCTCTTTGTTTTTTTGTCTTCCTGGATACTGTTGTGAGAAAAGCAATTTGATGCATCAGGATGCTCCCTCCCCTCCTTCCTACATCCAGAAACTTGGTCCATTGTACAGTTCGGAACTCTTTGTTGTCTTTGGCTGGGCAGACAACCGTGGGTGCAAAATAGGGTTTTTGTGTAACGCTCAGCACTCTTTCCTCCACTTTGCACTCAGCTAATTAGCCTCTTTCCCTCATTTTGTCTTTGGGGGAAAAGACTTTCTACTGATACTAACAGGGGGGAAAAATGGGTCAAAAATGTGCTTATATTGTTGTGAACATCTGATCTTTCAGCTTTTTGCAAATAAAGAAAGTTTATGATGTTTGTCTTTAGCTGTTTCTATTGGAGCCCTTTTTAAAAAACAAACCAACAAAGGAGAAATTTGGAACAATATGCTCTGTTGGCACCATTGTGTATTTTTGCCAATTCACCATGATCTGTCATCTCTTTCTATCTACCCAAGGTTATATATTTATGTCAGAGGTGTCACAAGGGAGTTTAAAAAAAAGGCAAGGTATAAAGTCCAATATGCACGTGAAGTCCTACCCCCTTTTTACATGTGTACAACAAACTTTTAAAAAGTATGGGATTTTGATCACAGGGTTGTAGCCATCTTGACTTTTTTAAACCCCTTACTGTGGCTACCCCATGTCTTCCATTTGTCATTATAATTCTCACTAGTTAGGGTTAATGCTACAGTTCAGACGGGATATATAATCTCTTCTTTTCTTAATCAAAATCAAAATAAACAAAGCAATGAAAAACTGCAATGTTGGTTCCCGAATTAATATAGCTCATTGGCTTTTGATTTTCTTGAAACAGCTCTGGATAGTTTGGGTCACATATTCATTTTTTTAAAAAATACCTAGCCTGTCAGAGCATGTCCTTATATTGATTTAAGGATTAAAGAGATCAATTTTATTTGGTGAAAATATATTTTCTCATTCCAAATCTAAGACCAGAACACTATCCTCTTGATGTAATGACTTAAAGAAATGTACCGTGTTCAAAGGACACATAAGAAATAATTATTTTTTATTTTGGGATTGAGCCATGATATTTTGCATCATCAGGCAAGTGGCCACTTTTACTATTCTTCCAAGCACTGGGTTGTTTTGGCACTTGAGGCAGAAAATGCAGAAGAATGTCCTCTCTTCAGCAATAAAATGTAATAATGAAATATTAAATAATTAACTATGTATTATGACAATATACTGTTACCCCATTATAACTTAATAAGAAAATTGAATATTTACTAACTTAAAAAATAAAATATCTGAAAAATATTAAATTTCAATGCTTTATAAATTTGCATGTTATTGTAGTAAATTTAAAACTTAATAAATTGGCTATTTTAATTCATTCTTCAAAAACATTTCTGACAGTAAACTTTCTAGGAAAAATATGCTTGTTTTTCTATCTCACCTGACCTTCAATAAAACTTTTCACAGGCTACGATTCTAAGAGAAAGGTTATTAAAATCACTCACGATACCTGAATGCAACAGGTATAAGACTTCACCAACTTTTTCTTGCATAATGCTGTAATTGCTACAGTTCTAGAATTCAGACTCATCATGTACCAAATCTTTTAACATTAACAGATTGTGGAGCCCCTTGACCTCAACTGGAATACTTAGATCCAAAAGATGTCAGTCAGAAAGTATTAAAACTGCAGGCGAGACAGAGTGTTTAACATAATGCTAGTCAGGATGACTTTAGCATCCACTGTATCACCCATTGAGTGCAATTAATTTGGGAAGTGAAAAGCAATCACCGGTGCCATTCCAATCCCTACCACCAGGAAAATCATGGCATTAAACAGCCTTTCTGCTATTTTTTTCCGACCGAATATGGCTGTTGAGATTGTAAATAACCTACATGAATGGACCCTGCAGACACATTTTATCGTAAATTCATGCAGACAAATTTATATCGCAGTGCCATCACCAGAGTCCAATTGCAAATTAAGTTTTGATTGGCACTTAATTTCTAGACTTCAGATCCATTACTTGCCTACAATCTCACGCAGAAAGAGAAAGAGGATACCCTTTCATCCAGGGAAATGTGTAAGCCTACCCAAGGGTCACACTTCTCTTGGAATTTATTTTAGTGTGCTGATGCAGTTGTTATGTTTCAGAAATGTAGTGTGGAGTTGCTCAGAGTATAACACATGCCCCTTATTTCCAGGAGAGCCATTACACAGAGAGAAAGTCTTGAGGGATTGTGATACTATGCTACTAAGCATCATAACTGTAATAATTACTACAGTTGAATACAGACTGTAACCTCTATCAAGCAATGGAAACTTAGCTCTTCTTGGTAGGGGTCCATATTCACAGATTGCATCAAACCAAAGTGTGTTTTCTGGCATACTTATGGAACTACAGCTATTGTGGCATTACTTTAATAAACTATTAGGAACACAGGAAAACCCTGTCATTTCTGTTTTCCTAAGAACAAATCCACAAAATCCTTCCTTCCTTCATAAAGTTGTGACTTATCAATTTCAATCTTCCCACCTATACAAGTTGACCTCGACTTATGATGACCACAACTGAGCCGAAAATTTATGTTGCTAAGTGAAACATTTGTTAAGTGAATTTATGGACTTTCTTGCCACAATTGTTAAGTGAATCACTGCACTTGTTAAATTAATAACACCCTTGTTAAGTGCATCTGGTTTCCACATTGACTCGGCTTGTCAGAAGATTGCAAACGGTAATCACATGACCCTGGGACACTGCAACCGTAATAAATACATGCCAGTTGCCAAGCATCTGAATTTTGTTCATGTGACCATGGAGATACACTACAGTGGTCATAAATCTGAAAAACGATCGTAAGTCACTTTTTTCAATGCTGTTGTAGCTTTGAACTGTCACTAAATGAATTGTTGTAAGCCGAGGACTACCTGTACTTCTCCAAAACATGGCAGGGCTTATGCTGGGAGGCAAAATGACTAATTTTCAGGTGCAAAGAAGGTTGAAGATACTCAATACTACGGACATATCTAAGTCTTCCAGTCAACAATGGAAAGAACCGCCATCGAGGAATCTCCTACAGCAGAAGCCAAACCAATGTCTTATTCCATCAAGAAGCATTCACGGGCAAGTTATTACACATGCTAGTGCAAGCAGGATGGTAGGCTTGTGCACCAGATGTGCTGCATTGTAGCTCGCATTATTCCTAACAAGCTTGTTGAACCTGCTGACTGAAACTGATAAGGAATTGGGAGTTAACTATCTGGAGTAGGAAGGAAGATCTTCTAAGGAAGATTGCCACGATCACCAACTTAAGTTGACGGATGATTTATTCACTGGGAATGTGTGCTCTGAATTTGTGTCCAAATTTAGAACAACAGATAAAAACAATCAAACCAAGCCAATAGTCTGGTAGGAACTGCTCATGAGGTTTCCCTTGTTGGCTTTAGCAAATTATAACTTGCATGCATTAGAACACCCACCCATCCACCCAATGTTAATTACCCGCATTGGGCTTTCATGCATCCCAGCAGCAGTGGAAAACACAATACAACACAACCAAAAATAATTCATGTATGAAAAAAAAATTAATAGTGGAAGACATATTTCAGAAAAAGATGAATTTTGTAAATTTGCTCATAAATGACAGTCAGCCACTTCCTAATGAAAGTATGATATCCGTGCCCCCTATGTTAATCCCTATTGGATTAACATAGCTTCGATGATTTTTATATCATAAAATACATATTGCTATCTAAAAGCAACGCTATCCTCCTGGCAATATTTTCCTCCCAAGTACTTAATGTTTATACAATATTGTTCTGAGTAGGTTATGGGATTAGTAAAATGACTATTATAAATAATAATATCTTCCAAGGAGAAGCTAATATGCTAATGACAACTTAAGATGCCCACTGTGGCTCAAACTCTAATTGTTCCATCAGCTCTAAACCTAACCCAAACTCATTGCCCTGCTTCTCAGGCCAAAGAGGTATTCCCCAAATTCTTAAGAGGGAAATATCAGCTCTTCTCCTCCCACTCATGCAAGTATACATTTACACAATTGGTTACTCTTCTCTGTGATATTTATATTAGACCAAATTGGTCAATTCCGTATATATCTTAGGTGCCTCTTTGCAGGATTTCCTCCCCACCTAATATTCTTCTCTTTTCTGAAGTGACTTCCTGCTGTCTTTTCCCCTCCTGTAATATCCATGCCATATTTACCCAAAAGACCTTTTCACACTACATGAAACTGAGCAAATATATAAAAAAAATGATATCATGAGAAAATGCACAGAAGCTCTGCATAATAACCACAATCCTAAGAATAGTGACAGTGATTGCAATGGGAGAGATATAAGTATGTACCTCTTTCGTTGCCCCATAACCCGCTCTGTAAGAGATAGATTTCTTCCAGAGTTGCTGAAAGGATAAGAGCACTGGTCAAGTTTACAGAAAATTGATTTCCAGCTTGCAAATAACAATGACAAGTTCATTCAAAAATTGCAGAGCTCATACTGGCTTTGGCTGAAGCTATACAAATGCATATGGATTTTCATATCTTTTTGCTGTAGTACAGATGTTTTGTGTGTGATCATTTTTACCACCCTTGGTTTCTTATTTCCAATTATATTGCTTTTATCCATGGAACTGGCACTAAGTTTTTTTTTTTAATAAAGATTTAATAGCAAACCCTATTGCTCCTTTGGTGAACGGTCTCCAGAAAGCCCATAAGTTAACTTGTTTTTAATGGTTCAAGAAAAAAAACACACACACACAACCATCTTTGCTATTAATTTTTCCATTGTAATCATTTGATATTAGAAGTGAAACAGTGCTTCATTCTGGTAATTTATATCCAATATGTATCAATGATAATCTAAGCATTCACGACACAGATGGAAAGCAAATATATTAAATAAATACTGAAAAATAATCTGGGTAATGTCAGCATGTGATAATAACCTAAAAAAATCACTGCAGAAAACAATTTAATTATTAAAATGAAGCCAAATCTATGACAAGCTGTGTAATTTGCATTCAGATAACTTCTTTTAAAAACTCTTTATTTTTATTTATTGTGACTAGCTCTTTTTCTGCCGAAGGCATCTTTTCCATGGAAATTATTAATCTACTATTTCAATGAAGTATTATAGTGATACAGGCAGTCCTCGCTTACTGACCACTCATTCAGCAACCATTCAAAGATAAATCTTCACTGAACAATGACATTTACATCCTATTGTCAAAAATTGCAGTTGCCACAGCATCCTTCACACCTGACAATTGTAGCCAGAACTATGCCAGTGCCATAATATGGTGTCACACTTTATGAAATCATTTAGCAATGGAGCTGCCAGTCTCCACTGTAATCAGTAAGTGAGGACCTATCTATAGATAGAGTAGGATGGAACTCCTCTCTATGTTTTGTGATATATATATACTGAGTACTTACAGTTTCAGTATAACACTTACTACTATACATTGTAAATAAATGGGGAGAAAATAGGGAGTGGTAAGACCATCAGTAAATATTGAAATAAGAATGGCCATTCTTTTACTAGAATCTTAACCTAAAGAGCTTTTTACAAAGAAGAAATGCAAAGCTGTGTGGAAATTCAGTATGAACAGAACCATCCCGGTCTACCCAGTGCGAAGAGGCAAGATCAGGCCAGCATGGCTTTGGCCTTATCTACCCAATGCGAAGAGGAGTGATCAGGCCAGAATGGCTTCGGCCCAATCTACCCAGTGCGAAGAGGAAACATGACAGCAGTTTGGGAAGTGGCGTCATGCTGGCCATGCCCACCCAGTTGGCCATGCCTGCCTGGCCCCTGAAGGTCAATCACAGCCCTGATGTGGCCCTCAATGAAATTGAGTTTGACACCCTTGTTCTAGTCCAACATTTCTCGACCTTAGCAACTGGAAGACACATGGACTTCAAGAATTCTGGGAGTTAAAAGTCTACACCTCTTACAGTTGCCAAAGTTGAGAAACATTGTTCTATCTAGGCAATCGAATCAGGATCACAAAAGTCAAGTGAAAGCTCTCATTTTGGTCTCTGTAGGGGATACTTTGCATTCTGAGGTGCAAGCAGGAGTCTACACCTAGAACGCTTCTTCTGGCAGTCCCATTTCACTGGTGTTTGCATCCGACTGTTGCATCCCACTGTTGACCAGATTAGCTCATTGCAGATGGCTCCATCCTTTGGAGTGGGCTAATCAGGTTAGCCCCGCCTTTGAGGATGCCCGAATCTCAGAAAGTCCAAGTGCCCCTTTCAACTCAGACCTGTAGGTAGGACATGTTATCAGTTTGCGTTGCATCTGACTAGCTAAGTTATGATTGTATACTTGTACTCTGCAAGCAAAGGCAAAGGAATCCCACAGGTATAAACACTGAGAGAAGGCAATTTTTTTCCACCCATTTGTTAATCAATTTCTGGCAGCCTGTTTCTACTCCCCATTTGTTTCTGGCTCAGGGAGTGGTGTAGTAGTCTAGAGGTGGAGCTCTCACCTCACAATCAGGAGGCTGTGAGTTTGATCCTAGGTAGAGGCAGATATTTCTCTCTCTGGGCACATTGAGAATATATCTGCTGAATAAACCCTCACATTGGCAAAAGGAAGGGCAACCGGCCATTAAAATGTTCTGCTAGCTCCATTCAGTTGCCCAGACTCTACCCCACAAGGGATTATGGAAAAGGAGGAGGAGGAAGAGAAAGAGGAGGAAGAGGAAGAAGAGGAGGAGGAAGAGGAAGAAGATTTGTTTCTGACTCAGCACCCATTCTGAATAGTTAAAGAGACTTACAATAAAATGGATTAGTCCTCTGATAAACAATATTTCATTTAGTAGTTTATTATATATAAAATTACGTAAACCAGCAAGAATTTATGGATCTAGTGTCATCCAGGCACTGCTACTTATTCCATGTATGGAGTGTAGCACAGGGTCAATTTTTCACAAAGCTATTGGAATCAATGGTAAGAAAGGACCTATTAGAATGTAAACGCTACTGAATCAGATATCTAGAACAAGATATAAACTACCTTGTCTTGGTTGTGCACAGCCCAGGCAGCAGAACAGCATGAATTTATGCCAGAAAAGGCCAGCTGTCAAAAAATTGGCTAAATGTCCTTCTGTTTCAGACATTAGCTTATAAAGAAATTAAGGATTCAGTTAAACTAATTCACTTTTAGACGAGCTTGCCATCATAAGGCTGACAGTATTCCAGTAGCTCAATAGTCAGACACAGAGGCTGTCAATGATCCTGCAAGCAATTAACTTTCTTCCAGCTCCTCAAAACTGCATTATGTAGAAAGGGAGATGGAGTCTTACCCAGGCTTTTCAGGAAAATGCCAAAACACAGTGATGCCATGTGTCATACAGCTTTTATCCGATTGCCAAAAATGATAATGGGACAAATGGATGAGTGGCTGGGTGGGTAACTTAAACAGGTCAGGGCACAATCAGCCCAATAATTTTGCATTTTGTACCAACAGCAACAAAATACTCCATAGAGAGTCACTACGCTCAATTATACAAGACCTAACGAGGACTGATATGTAGAATGAGCTAATGTTTCATTTACTGGGTAAATAAAATGGGTAGTAAGAATAATGGATAGCTACTGCTTAAATTAGGCAAAAGCCTGTTAATATCTAAATTCACATGTATTTTTTTAAAAAATGGACATTTAGCACTACGGAGACTGGTATTTATTTTTTAATGAGCAAGATGACTTTGTGTCTGTCACAAGTTAAACCACTCTGATATGGAAGAGGTTGCGTTGATTTTCCCTAGTCTAAGTCCCACTACCTGTACAGGAGTCAATGGAACCAGATTACAGGTAGCTCTCGACTTATGATCATAATTGAGCAAAGGATGTATATTTCTAAGCAAGGTAGTTAAGTGAGTTGCAACTTTTTCTGCCATGGTTGTTAAGTAAATCACTGTAGCTATTTAGTGAATCTTGCGGTCGTAAAACGAATCCAGCCATTCCTATTCACTTTGCTTGCTGGAAGCTGGCTGGGAAGGTCACAAAGGGTGACCCTATGACCCTGGGACCCTGCAATTGACACAATGTCAATGTATATAATGTCTGCCAAGCAAGCAGATTTTGATCATGTGATCGCACTGGTCGTAAGTGTGAGGAACCGTTATATAAGTCACTTTTTTCAGTGCCACTGTAACTTCAAATGGTTGCCAAATGAATGGTTTTAAGACGGGAACTACTGGTAGCTAAACTTCTTTAAAAATATATTAAGCTGAAAAACGTTTTAGGTGATATAGTAGAGAAGCAACATTGATTGCACCTGTAGATTGCCACTGGAAGGACTACAATGGAGGTATAGCACACCTAGCGTGGCCTCATGTCTCCTGGTGGCTGTTAATACCACCAAGCATGGTATCCTTCTGGACTGGCTGCAAGGTTTAAGTTGCATGGTGTTGCAAATGCTTTTCTTCCTTCTCCAGGATCAGTTCTCATTGATGGGAGAGATTTAGCCCAGAGTTCTATTCTTGCTCTGCTCTTATTTAACATTTACATGAAACTGCTGAGTGAGCTCATACTTCAATATCAGGTCAGGTATCGTGAATACACTCATGATACTTAGTTATGAATCTCCATCTTAGGCTGAGCCAGTGATGTTATCAATATTCTTTTCCAATATCCAGAGGAGAGGGCTGTTGGTTTTGGGGTCCCTTGGCTATGGAGACTCTCCACCTTTAACCCCGGACAAATGTACATTCCCTCAGACAAAACTGATGCACAATCTGAGGATCCTTTAGGACAGGGGTGTCAAACTCGATTTCACTGAGGGTTGCATCAGGGTTGTGTTTGACCTTGGGGGGCTGGAGTGGGTGTGGCTGGGGTGGGCGTGGTCAGCTTGATGTCACTCATGTTGGGGGCGCCTGTGGAGGCCTGAGCACTCTGCCAGTGAAAATGGCCTCCCAAGCTACGACGACCTCCTGCAACCTTCTGCCAGCCCTCCCAAACTTCATTTTCACTGGTAGAGGCACTATGGGATGGTCCTTCACTGTTTCCAGGGTGGCTCCTCAGGTCAGATCTAAGCACCCCACCAGCTGGATCCGTCCCCCGGGCCTTGAGTTTGACACCCCTGCTCTAGGACTCTTAGCATTTGCCACAATCCATACTGTGTCAACTATACCATTTCAGGATGTGAAAGCCCTAACTCATGCTTACTTTTCCTTAGTGATCTCATATGAACTTTACAACACATTCCCCAATCCCCAATCCCCAGGCCACAGCCTGATACTGGGCCGTAGCCTGTTCAGAACTGGGCCACGCAAGTGGTGGGTGAGTACATGTAACTCCAATTGCATGAATGGCTGGCACTCACGCTCATGAGTAAAGCTCCATTTGTGCAAGCAGCAGGTTGCCACTGACACAAATACAGCTTCACACATGG